ATATATATATATATATATATATATATATATATATAGTGTGTGTGTGTGTGTACATGTTTAGTTTTACTGTAACAAAGCCACTTGTACACTTTTAACAAATTGAGCATCATCGTTCCTTTCCAGTGAAACAAAAAGAAAATTTAAACATAAATAGAAACAAAATTACAATAACGCATGTCAATTCCAAATATGATCCTACAGGTTCTGCTGATTCTCCCATTGAGTGGCTGGGCTCAAGTCATTATTAGGAGAGAATGTCATTTTATCAAAGTGTCATCTTCAACTGCAAGGATGTCCGTTAAACATCACAGCTAAACGTGCCAGGGGAGAAGCTATGTTGTCAGAATGCCCACTTACCCCACCCAAACATCTCAAACCCAACCCTTGGCTGACCTTCTATTTAAAAAAAAAAAAAATTTCTTGATTTTGAGAGATAGAGCATGAGCAGGGAAGGGGAAGAGAGAGAGAGGGAGAGAGAGAATCCCAAGCAGGCTCTGCGCTGTCAGTGCAGAGCCCAACACAGGGCTCCATCTCACGAACCATGAGATCACAACCTCAACCGAAATCAAGAGTCGGACGCTTAACTGACTGAGCCAGCCAGGTGCCCCTGCTGACCTTCTATAACCCCATTTTTTAAAGGTTTTTTGTTTGTTTGTTTTAAACAAGAGAAAGTGGACAGGTACACGTGGGTAATGCTAACTGTTCATATTCCCATAAGAACACTGTAATCTCTGAGCCCAATATACAGAGAAAGTAGGGAAAAAGCTAGAATTATATGTCCTCCTACACAGGGGCTAGCACCCTCCAGACTCCAGCGGAACTAGGGAGGCAGAAAGTTTTTCTGTTTTCCCACAGAGCACGGTGGTGTTGACTCCATCAAGTTTTGTTGAGACAGGAAGGGATAAAAGTTCATTTGGAACAGAAAGGGCTAGAGATTATTTTCCCACTGTATGATGCGCAGGTATTTCCCCCCCACAATAAGTTGAGAACCATGATATAAAAGGGGAGAAAAGAGGCTTCAAAAAACAGGGTGAATGAGCACAAGAGGAAGGGGAAAAGAAAGAGAGCTACTTGCTCTCAGGGACGAGGAAATTTCAAAAGAAAGGTTGGAATCCATGTGTGTTCCATTAGTCAACTTTTCCTTCCTCCTCCTCCTCTCCTTCCTCCCCCTCATTGTTCACGTTCATCTTCCTCACCTTCATCGTCACCCCCTTCATCAATATCTTCCAATCCTCCTTCATTTTCATCACCATCATCTTCTTCCTCCTCTCCTCCTCCTTCATCATTCCGTTTCGGGAACGAAATAGCGCTGTCACAGATTTGGCCAAATACTGTCTTTGGTGACCCCTCCAAACTCATCTGCGTCAGAATGGTCAGTAAAGCAGGTGAAGAAGCTCTCTGATGCCTCACGCTGTCTCTTCCTACTGGCTCTATCCTGTGTTTGACTGGAACATTTCATCAGATCCTCTCTGGATTTCCACTTGATTTCAGTGGACTTGGAAGAGGGAATGCCATTCTTGTCCTGATGAACTTCTGTGGAAAGAACTTTATTTTTGAAGTAAGGGTTTTCATCACAGTAAAAATCTATTCTGTAACCTGATTGAATATCTTCAAATTCTGTCACTTCAGCTCTTGTCAGATAATGCAGCCCCCCTTCCGGGGCACCTGGGTGGCTCAGTTAAGCGTCCAACTCTTGATCTCAGCTTCAGGTCTTGATCTCCAGGTTGTGAGTTGAAGCCCCATGCTGGGTGTGAAGCCTACTTAAAAACATTAAAAAAAAAAAATAGTGCAGGGTCTCTTCACCCTCCTCCCCAGGCAGTGCAGACACTGTGGATGGTTGACAAATGCTGTTACCCCCAAATCTGGGATTTTGGCGATCAATTCCAACCTTTTCTGAAAAAATGGTTGGCAGAATTTGTTATATTCCTGTTGTACTTTCAAAATGTCCTCACTGGCTCATGCATAAGTCTGTCTATTTCATTTTGTACTTCATCAATATGTTCAGCTCCTTCTTGCTGCTCTTTTTTGTTCCCCCTCAGCAAGTGTTGACAAGTTGACGTCTCCTTCAGCTCAGGGGCAGGAGACAGTCTCTTTTTCTTCCTGTGAGGCGGGAGGGAAGACTGGCTTTGAGAGCCATGCTGTGAGGAAGGTCCATGAAATAAGGGCAGACGCACATCTGCAAGAAGCTCTGATTACTCCTCTTTACCAAATATTTTAAAGGGCACACACCAGACCATCGTTCGGTAACATGCCATTTTCTCACTTGTAAACCCCAAGTCACCTGGGGTTAGTCTTAAAACCAACTAGCGAATGATCTAAGTATGTGTGTCTCTACTGTTTGAAAAAAACATGAAGAAGAAACATGTTTCTTGTGTGTAGTTGTCATCGTGTGGAAAGTATCACAAGGAAAGATGTTTACCTCCGATTTGTCTTTTTTTTTTTTTTCTAGAATTACGATCAAGTTCACTGTGCGTTTTGGGACTTTGGGAGTAACGGTAAGTATTTTTCTTAGCAAGCTTTGTCTTCGGCTCTCAGTGAGACTTTGCCCCTGACCATTTTTCTAGTTGGCCGTTGGATGACTTGGAACCGTGCTGTCTTACCAGACCCTACAGAGAACTCTGACGGACCAAGATACGAATATCAGTTTCACACCTAGTTAGGGCATGGGAGGTTAAAAAAAGAAGCCCTTTCTTCTTGATAAGAGACTTATTTGGGGGATTAGAAAAAAATCATATAGCTCGGGAATAAGGAAAATTGAAAGACCGGGTGCAGAGTGGCCTTGAGCTGTTTGAAGCAAGTTGAGAAACGAACACCTGGCTTTTCATCTGTGTTTTCCCATGGAGATTTGCAACATCTACTATCTTCTTTATTCCCCTCATCTCTTCTAGACTGACTGTGTGACCTTGGGTAGTCCATTGACTCTCTTGGGGCCCCAATCTTTTTATCTTTTCATTGAGGGGGTAAGACTTCCTGGGGGGTCTCAAATGGCCCTTCCTGTTTGGCTAGGTATGAGTCGTTGGGGACAGTAAGAGAAGGAATTAGGCTTGGGGATTGCTAAAGGGGCTCTTCCTAGGCTTGCCTTCTCCCTTGGAATCTCCAGGGATATTGCCAAATCTCAAAGTATTCCCACCCAGAATCCATTGTCCCTGGAATGCCAAGAATGACTATGTGCCCCTCTGCCTGGGAACTTTTCCCTTTTCAGTCTCCCTGAAATTCTGGAAGAAAAAGGAAATTCTCTTCCGGCTTGACTCCCTGGGATGTAGGACTACCAGTCCTTTCCTACAACAGGGATAGCATGTCCTTTCCTGGTCTTCTCCAAGTCTCCCAGGATAAGATTCTTGTAAAATGATGAGCCTTGACCCCCACAGCCTCAGTAAGTTAATCCGCATGCTCACCAATGCCAGTTGCCAGACTTCTCCCGGGTCACCCTTTGCCCCCCACCCTCTGTCCATGGATCCAGAACCTCTGGAATCTATGGAGTTATCCTGGATGGACAAATTTTAATGACACTTAGCTGCCTATTTTATGATAACCTCTCTGGTCTAGTGCTACACTGGACGTTTTACTCTAGATCTGGCCTAGTATCTGAGATCTACAGGTTGTGGAGGTGCGAGGGTTGGTTTTAAAACCCCTAAATAAGCTCAGGAGTGAGAAACTAGGCAAGTGTCAAGTAAACCAGAGACTCTAATTGGCCCTGAGGAGTGACAGACCATGATCTGGCTTGAACTGGTTGTTTCAGATGTCTATTCTGGGGCCACCAAGCAGGCCAAAATGTCAGCCCATATTCCATAGCTCATGTCCTTCAGAAAGTTCTAGATCTACCTGTTTTCTATTTGTGCTACTTAAGAAAACAGTTCTTACTCTGTCACTCCAGCATGGTGGCATAACTGTTGTTCGTGATTAGAGTCTGTCCTCATCTCGGGCAGGAATCCGTAGAAGTTCCTGTGCCAGAACTGGAAGTGAGAGCCAAAGGGGGTATGCCATGCATGAAGTTCCCAAAAAGTCAATTTCACCTATTAGACTTACTTTCATTTCAATGTTCAACTATACCTCTATCTTATTCTCTTAACAAAGAATACTAATTATAACACACGCTCGGAAGGTGCCCATAATGAAAAGTTAAACATTTCTGAGAAAAACAAAATTGCTTTGAAATTCCCTTCTGTCTCCTGCAGATGGGCAAGGTGGATGGAACTCGTCAGGCTGTAAAGTAAAGGAAACAGACGTAAATCACACAATCTGTCAGTGTGACCACCTCACCCATTTTGGAGTCTTAATGGTGAGTTGTCTCTTAATCGCTCCTTGATAGAATTTGGACAACTTTTATTAGATTACAGACCAGAAATATATGTGTGAACTCTTATGGAAAAGTGGCATGCAAGGGGGAGAAAGCCCCCTCTTCGTCCATCCGAAGTAAGGCAGATTGAAATAAATATTTATTTTTTCTCCTTGTAAAAGTAATGTCTGCTTCTCAAAATTCAAACATGACAGAAAAGGTCCCTATAATCCCCCTCCCAAGAGATCACCACCTTTTTTTAAAGTTTATTTATTTATTTTTGAGGGGGGGGGGAGGGCAGGTGGGGGGAGAGAGAGACAGAGAGACAGAGAGACACAGAGACAGAGACAGAGAATCCCAAGTAGGCTCTGTGCTGTCAGCATGGAGCTGGACACGGGGCTTTATCTCATGATGTGAGATCATGACCTGAACTAAAATCAGGAGCCAGATGCTTAAAAACTGACTGAGCCATTAGGCACCCCAAGATCATCACCTTTAACACCTTTATATGCATTCTTTCACATTCCTTTCCTATGTGTATATTAACACGTGGTTATTTTATAAAAATGGGATCAAAGTATTCACCCTCTTTTTGCCACTGGCCTTGCACTAAACAATACAATGGGACACCTTTCGGGCAAATACATGTCCATCTACTTCAATTTTCACAACATCTTTATAGAATTGTCTTGTGTGGATTTAACACAGTGAATTTAACCAGTCAGGCTGCAAGAGCTATCTGATCAATTCACATATTCGGGCTTAGGCCTCATTAGTTAGTTAACTCTATCATCTCTTTAGTTCCTATGGCCCTCCCTAACATCAGGACTTGCTGAGGTTTCCTCCAAAATGGCTCTCAAAGGGGCGTCTGGGTGGCTCAGCTGGCATGCCACTCTTGATCTTGGGCTTGTGAGTTTGAGCCCCATGGTGCACGTAGAGTTTACTTAAAAAAAAAAAAAAAAAGGAAGGAAGGAAGACGATGGCTCTAAAATGTATTTCTTCTTCTCGACCCCTTTCTGAGTACTTTCTTAGTTTTCTTAACTTACTTTATTCTATATATGATATACTGTTATCTAAATGTGTTGTGCACGAGTTGTTTCTCCTACTAATGGTAGGCTCCTTGAGGGCCGAGTGTCTGTTTTATATTCCTTTTCTTTTCTTTTTTAACCATGTTTATTCAACAAAGGAGAGGCACTCCATTGATACTTACTGAATTGTAGGAATTACGTTTGAGTTCTCTCCAAGTTGGTAGGGGATCAAAAGACCAGGGCTCACATCCCAGTTCTGTCACTAACTACCTATCTGATCTTGATCAGGTTGGTTCACTTGTTTGGACCTTAGATTTGTCTTCTGAAACACGAAAGGTGGGAGTAGACCGAGATTTCTTAACCTTGGCACTAATGATATTCTGAACCAAAGAATTCTTTACTGTGGGGACTGTTCTCTGCATTGCAGGATGTTGAACAGCATCCCTGGCCTCTGCCCACCAGATGCCAGTAGCACCTTCCCCAGTTATGGCAACCAAAAATGTTTCCAGACATTGCCAATGTCCCTGCGAGAAGGGCAATATCGCTTCCGGTTGGGAACTACTGGGGGGACCAGTGTTTCTTAGCCTTTTATAATTCATAAATCTCTATAAGTATCTGAGGAAAACTGCGCACCTTGTGTCCAGAACAAGGCACACACAGATTCCTATGACTCTGCATGCCATTTCAGGTTTCCTATGGTCCTCAGGTTAAGACATTTCTGGATTATGTGATCCCTAAAGCCCATCTTGTCTCTTAATTTCATGAAAGTTATTTAAAGTCTAAAGAAAAGGAACATTTTTTAATGTTCTGTGTAGTGTTTGGGGACGCTTAGTTCAAATAATGATTCACTTTGCATCCCAAATTTACCTCTATTAGTTTGGTTATATTTTAAGTGTGGAACATGTTAATGACAATAAAACCAAGGACTAAATGTTCTTCCAGTGCTGTTGATGACTCTTCATGACCTGTACACAGTAAGTTGCACTAGGCATACTCAAAAAAACAACATACGGTCTTATCGTATACGCATCCACGTACCCCGGTTTTGTAAGAGCTATAGCTGAGATGCTATATATCCTGAGAACCTGCCGCTAGTGATCCCTGGAAGGCTTTTACCATAAACTTGCTCTGGAAAATGTATCAAATACAACATATTGCATTTCCTAGGATTTATCCAGGTCTGCAGTGGATGCAGTGAATGAACGGATATTAGTGCTTATAACATACATTGGATGTGGAATCTCCTCCATTTTCCTGGGAGTTGCAATGGTGACATACATAGCTTTTCAGTAAGTTGATAAAGTCCTGCTCTGAGTAGGTTTAATTTGGTTTGATGAATGCTGTTGTCACTGTAACCATGTTAATTTCGTAAAATGTTCCTATTCATCACAATAAGAAGAGGTCAAATCCATTAGATTATGAAGTGCATAGATGAAAAACTAACAACCCAGGCTCCTCTAAAGAGAGGGGGGGGGTTGTAATTGGATTTTTAAAAAGCAATACAAAAACACTAAGCATAAAAGGAAAAGTTGATAAATTGGATTTCATTGAATTTAAGAACTTCTTTTATCAAAAGACACCATTGAGGTGCCTGGGTGACTCAGTTGGTTAAGCGTCTGACTTCGACTCAGGTCATGATCTCATGTGTCATGGGTTTGAGCACCATATGGGGCTCTGGTGCTGACAGCTCAGGGCCTGGAGCCTGCTTCAGATTCCGTGTCTCTCTCTTTCTCTTTCTCTCTCTCTCTCTCTCTCTGACCCTCCCCGACTCACACTCTGTCTCTCTCTCTCTCTCTCTCTCTCTCTCTCTCTCTCTCAAATAAACATTAAAAAAAATTTTTTTTAAAAAGACACCATTAAGATGGTGAAAAGGCAAACCACAAATTGGGAGAAGATATTTACAATGCATATTGTAATGCATATATCTGACAAAGGACTTTTTTGTAGGATGCATATGAGTGTGTGTATGTATATACACACAAACCCACACACATATATACACACACACATATATATACATATATATATATATATATATACATACTCCTACAATGAAAGATAGACAATACAATTAAAAGTAGGCAAAGATAGCACAAAAACAGACACTCAGATCAATGGAACAGAATAGAGAACCCAGAAATGGACCCACAAACATATGGCCAACTAATCTTTGACAAAGCAAGAAAGAATATCCAATGGAATAAAGACACTCTCTTCAGGAAGTGGTGCTGAGAAAACTGGACAGTAACATGCAGAAGAATGAACCTGGACCACTTTCTTACACCAGACACAAAAATAAACTCAAAATGGATGAAAGACCGAAACATAAGACAAGAAGCCATCAAAATCCTCAAGGAGAAAGCAGGCAAAAACCTCTTTGATCTTGGCCGCAGCAACTTCTTACTCAACACGTCTCCAGAGGCGAGGGAAACAAACACAAAAATGAACTATTGGGACCTCATCAAAACAAAAAGCTTCTGCACAGCAAAGGAAACAATCAGCAAAACTAAAAGGCAACTGACGGAATGGGAGAAGATATTTGCAGATGACATATCAGATAAAGGGTTAGTATCCAAAATCTCTAAAGAACGTATCAAACTCAACACCCAGAAAACAAATAATCCAGTGAAGAAATGGGAAAAAGACATGAATAGACACTTCTCCAAGGAAGACATCCAGATGGCCAACCGACACATGAAAAAATGCTCAGCATCACTCATCATCAGGGAAATGCAAATCAAAACCACAATGAGATACCACCTCACACCTGTCAGAATGGCTAACATTAACAACTCAGGCAACCACAGATGTTGGTGAGGATGCAGAGAAAGGGGAACCCTTTTGCATTGTTGGTGGGAATGCAAGCTGGTGCAGCCACTCTGGAAAACAGTATGGAGGTTCCTCAAAAAACTAAAAATAGAACTACCTTGTGACCCAGTAATTGCACTACTAGGTATTTATCCACGGGATACAGGTGTGCTGTTTTGAAGGGGCACAGGCACCTCCATGTTTATAGCAACACTATCGACAATAGCCAAAGTATGGAAGGGGCCCAAATGTCCATCGATGGATGAATGGAAAAATACATGTAGTATATATATATATGTATACACACACACACACACACACACACACAATGGAGTATTACTCGGTGATCAAAAAGAATGAAATCTTGCCATTTGCAACTATGCGGGTGGAACTAGAGGGTATCATGGTAAGCAAAATTAATTAGAGAAAGACAAATATCATATGACTTCACTCATATGAGGACTTTAAGAGACAAAACAGATGAACATAAGGGAAGGGAAACAAAAATAATATAAAAACAGGGAGGGAGACGAAACAGAAGAGACTCATAAATATGGAGAACAGAGGGTTACTGGAGGGATTGTGGGAGGGGAGATGGGCTAAATGGGTAAGGGGCATTAAGGAATCTACTCCTGAAATCATTGTTGCACTATGTGCTAACTAACTTGGATGTAAATTAAAAAAATAAAATAAATAAAATAATAAAAATAAATAAAAATTAAAAAATGAAGTACAAATGTTTAATTTAAAAAAGTAGGCAAAGGACTTGAGCAGGCACCTCACAAAAGAGGATATCCATGTGTAACCCTAACCTTTACTCATATGGCTAATAGCCATGTGACAAGGTTCTCAACATCATTATTCATCAGTGAAATGCTAACTAAAACCACAGTTATATTTCTGTGTACCTACCAGAATGGCTAAAATTAAAAATACTGGCAAGAGCAAGTGCCCAAAAGGGCGTGGAACAGCTGGAACTCTTTTCTAAAAATTTTAAAAATGTTTATTTATTTTGAGAGGGTGAGACAGAGTGAGAGAGAAAGAGAGAGAGTGTGCACAAACCAGGGAGGGGCAGAGAGAGGGAGAGAGAGAATTCCAGGCAGGCTCTGCACTCCACGGGGCTTGAAACCCCCGAACCATGAAATCATGACCTGAGCTGAAATCAAGAGTCGGACTTAACCAACCGAGCCACCCAAGCGCCCCTCAAATGGAACTCTTATACGTTACTGGTAGGGATGCAAAATGGCACAGATGCTTTAGAAAATTCTTTGGCGATACATACTGGAGATGAATATATATCTAGCTGTTGACCCGGAAACTTAACTATTCGAGAGAAATGTGGACATGTGTCCACCAAAGGATATACACAAGAATATTCACAGCAGCTTCATTCATAGTGGCCCCAAATTGGAAACAACCCCAATGTACATTAACAGTTGACTGGATGAATAAATTGTGGTATGCTCATAAAACGGAATGCTTCACAGCAGTACAAAAAGAATGAACTGCTTCTGAACAATACAACATAATATCAAACGCTCATAGACACAGAGTTGGGCCAAAAGGAAGCCAGAAAAAAAGGAAAGCATACTGCATGGTTCCATTTACATGAAGTACTAGGTACAGGCCCAACTAAACCTGTGGGGACAAAAGCTAAAATATTGGTTACTTCTACTGTATGTGTCGGGGGGAGGTGGGGTTTGTTATTGAATGGGAGAAGGAACGAAGGAGCCTTCTGAGATTTGAAAATATTCTACCTCTAGCGTAGATGTTTGCAAATGACATATCTGATAAAGGGTTAGTATCTAAAATATATAAAAAACTGGGGCACTGACTGGCTCAGTCGGAAGAGTGTGTGACTCCTGATCTCAGGGTCGTGAGTTCGAGGCTCACGTTGGGTGTAGAGATTACTAAAAAATAAATAAATAAACTTCTAAAACGTGTACAATACAATGGTTTAAACAATATGTAAGAAAACTGATACAACTGACTACCCCCCAAAAACAAATAATTCGATTAAAAATGGGCCGAAGACATGATCAGACATTTCTCGAAAGAAGACATCCAGATGGCCAACAGACACACAAAAAGATGCTCCACATCACTCATCATCAGGGAAATGCAGATCAAAACCACAATGAGATACCACCTCACCCCTGTCAGGGTGGCTAAAATCAACAGCACAAGAAGTAACGAAGTAGATCAAGCTTTGGGTCTGCTGAAGGAGTGATGATAGAATGGTAGTATTCAGGAAACGCCTCCCTCCCCTCTCCCCAAGAGAAAAAGACAAGGAGAAAGTAAAAGAAAAGTAAAAGGGGGCTGCTTAGCTGCCTGAGGTTAGTATTATTCCTGTTAGTAAAGGGCACCGGATTTAGGATACTTTGACTACCTGGAAAGAGGGTGGGGAGCTCAAAAATCCAGACGTATAAGGTAGAACGAGCAAGTTCAACAGTCACTCCTTTTGTTCCTTCACTTATTAGGCAGATCAGATGTGGCAATGCTTGACTCAAACCAGAGACCCTACCTAACTGAACACTGTGTCTTTTCTTTTAGCAAACTTCGAAAAGATCATCCTTCCAAAATCCTGATCAACCTGTGCACAGCACTACTGATGCTAAACCTGGCATTTCTGGTCAATTCCTGGTCCGCATCATTTCAGAAGGCGGGACTGTGTATCACAGCTGCAGGGGTGCTTCATTACTTCCTGCTCGTTTCTTTGACTTGGATGGGCCTGGAGGGGGTCCACATGTATATCTCTCTGGTCCGAGTCTTCAACATCTACGTGCCCAATTATATCCTTAAATTTTGTCTAGTTGGTTGGGGTAAGTATATCTGCCATTGGCCTTGATGTCTCTGTTTGAAGTCTTGTGCGTATTTCTAATTCAAGCTTCATCAGACGCATTATTCAGGACCAAATTCTGGTATTAGCATCAGTAAGGGATTAAGGATTGGCTCACTGGTGTTTGGCTGTGTGTCTCTCTTTCTGCCTGTATTGCTCTATAAATTCAACTTTTTAAAAAAAAAATTAAGTTTATTTTCTTAGAGAGAGAGAGAGAGAGAGAGAGAATCCCAAGCAGGCTCTGCACTGTCAGCATGAGCCCCATGCAGGGCTCGAACCCACAAACCGTGAGATCATGACCAAAACCAGAGTCAGGTGCATAACCAACTGAGCCCCCCCCCCAGGTGCCCCTAAATTCAATTTTTTACCTCTATGGTGAGGAATTTGCCCACAAATATTTATTGAGCACCTGCTGTGTACTGTGCTAAATGGAGGATCTACCGCGGTGAACCTGTCAGATTCTATCCTTCTCTCTACAGAAGTTAAAACCCAACAAATACTTACTGATGTAATAGCCAACACTTACACGCATGGTAGTGCTTCTGTAGGTGGCACTTACACATGCCAGACACTGTTCTAAGTGTTTTGCAAACTTAGTTAGCACTCCTTATATCTCTGTGAGAAAGATTTCATCATCATAACCACTTACTGGTGAGGACACTGAGGCACAAGGACGTTAGGTGATTTGCCAAAATGCACACAGCTGGTAAGTGGCAGAGCTAGGATTTAGAGCCGATATCTGGCTCCGGAGTTTGGACATGTAACCTCTGTGACCTAGCCCTGCTGTTGAAGGGATAGAGCGCTTGCAATGTGGGGAGGGGTGCGGGGTCAGACACGCCCCGATTCCCCCTATACCTCCTGGCGGTCACTGCTCCTCTATGGAAAAAGCCAGGAACGGAACCCAGCATGACTATTCCCTCTTTTAAATGTTATTTAATTGGTTTGCCGCCCTGTATTTCTGACACGGTCAGGCCAGCTCCTGTCCCTTCGCTTTGCCTATTCAAACCAGAGTTTGACTTCAGAGAATGTGTTGGATACACAGAAGATGTATATTAAGTGGGATGCCTCGGATCCATGTGAGGATAGATTTTATCTTCCGCCGCCCTTGTAAAGACAATAGCTTCCCAATTAGCTACTCATGCTTTTAATGAGCTCATGAACATAGCACACACACTTTCATTGGATACACAGTGCTATTATCCATGCCAATGTCGGGGGGCAGAGACAGGCAAATATTAAGCAAAGCATCATCTACGATTGTTTTAGTACGTTAGAGTCCATCAGGAAGTCTTCATCTCAAGTCAAGCAAGGGATTGAAAACTGATATGGAAGGGGCTTCATGGATAACCCCCCACACAGATAACCCACAGATGGCTAACAGTAAACGGGCTGTAGAAAGCACTCGGTCCCGGCTTTTCTTCTCTCTCGTCGTCATCCTCAGCTTCCTTTTCAGCCCCTTCCTGCTTCACCTGCTCCTTAAGTGTTGCTCTCCAGAGCTCACTTCTCTCTCCGATCTTCTCGGCCCCCACACACTTGCTGGTATACCGGGAGAGGCAGGAAAGGCTAAATAAGACTCGGTACTTGGAGGCAGGATACATTTCGGGAGTGTCAAGTACACACCCAAGCCAAGGCCATGGCCTGACTGGCTCGACCCGTCAAGGTGCTAGAAGCTGCTTCCAGATTCAGCTGATCACTTACATAGACGGTGGACGGAAGAGTAGCTAAAGGTGCCAGCTCCCAAGGCCTCGTCCCGCTCGCTATGAAAGAAGGACAAAAGGGAACAGATGGCTACCACACGAGTTGAGGGATTCCCTGTCGCTGAAGAGCCAGCTCTGAGCTGAGGCTATGCGGTTCTATATCCGGCAGCTCTGTTCTGAGGGGGCAGGGCGCAAAGCCCCACACCTCCTCCGAACCTGGGAGGGATGAGAAAATGTTTCGTGACAGACCCCACTCAGGAGATAGAGAGGCGGGTAGGGGATGGCCTCAGAGCACCTCCTCACAGGCCTGCGCCTGCGGTCTTCTCAAAGTTGTGCGGGCTCACGGGGTGTGCCGCCCAGATTCAGATCGGCTTCCTGCTCTGCAACCTGTTGACAAGGTTTTACTCCTGTATTTAAATCCCTGTCCAAGGCAGCAGATCGGTCCACATTTGTTAACAACCAGTCGGGATCTATTTGTTTGTTAATCGGTAATTTATTAACTTGTTAATTACCGAAATGTAAACACAGCTTGGGGACCACCTCCCAACTTCCATCGTGAGCGTGAGAGCTCCCTCCATCCCTCCTTTCTGGCCTCTCACAGATTAAAAACATTTTTTTAATTGCAGTATAGTGGACACTCAATGTCACATGAGTTTCAGGTGCACAACCTAGTGATCGGACGAGTCTACGCCGTGCCTTCCAGCCCTGTGACTTATTCATCCCATAACCGGAAACCTATTCTTCCTCCTCTCCTTCCCCCAAGTTGCTCATCCCCCATTCTCTCCCCCCGCCCTGGCAACCATTAGTTTGTTCCTCGTATTTACGGGTCTGTTCCTGTGGGGTTTTTCCCCAACAGGTGTTTTTGTAAATATCTACATCATGCTAGGCACTGCGCTAAGTGTGTGATATACCGATCAAAAGGGACTGTCCCGTTTCTCACAGAATCGGACAGTGGAGGGTATTTCAAGATGCCTACTTAGCACTCTGGGGTTTAGAACAGCCTTGCAAAGTATCTCACAAAAACCCCTAAAATGTGTGCAGGTGTAATGCTCTTAGTTTAGGAGAAATACATTGTTAGGAATAAAGAGATCATTTAAATTTTGCAAATATACCTGAAATTGGATTTTTCGATCCTGCGTCTACACTCGGGTCACATTTGACCACTTTGACTGAACTGATTGCTTTATTATAGTCTGGCCGAATTGACTGGTCGTTAACTGGTCGATCTAGTCAAAATGTCAAATAGTAACGAGTGTGGAAACAGCTCCCCTGTCAGAAAGCACCGAAGGCTGCAGCCGATTGCTTGCACCCTTCCTCCAAGGTGACCTAGACAAAAAGGTCCCGGGAAGTCAGGGGCTCTATGGAAAAGGAGAAAAAAATCGGCAGCCCATCATCTGAGAAGAAGTGCTTGATATGAACCTGCATTCCGAACTAGATACTTCTATTGCCAAGTTGATTTTTTGGCGCTTGAGCTATTTTTAATAACCAGTGGGCGTTGTATTGGAGCCTTTGGCATGCTGTTTAGTTTAGCAGATTGGAGAACTCCTAGAAATGTTTAACTTGGAAGACTTCACAAACATTTTGCAAACAATGGTATTTTGATGCCCGCACATCTGTGGCTCATTTAAACAGTGTCTTGGTGTATCAGGGCCCACAGTCCATGATCCGGACCGCTCCTTGCTTCCTAATGGAATGCATTTGGCTTGCTTCCCCACTCTAGGAATCCCAGGGATCATGGTGGCGATCACACTCAGTGTGAAAAAAGATCTATACGGAACCCTAAGCTCAACGTCTCCATTGTAAGTATCAGGCGATGATGCTCTTGTCCATCAGGGTGTGTGGGGAGGTGTTCTGACCTGCGGCTCAGTCTTGATGCTGGCTTCAGTGCGGGGTGGGGGGGCGGGGGACTCAGCCTCAGCCTTTTTGGCTTCAACTCGGTCATGGGCGCACTCATGTAATGGCTAGGTGCCTGCTCTCTGTGTGACCTCCGGCAACTTACTTTACCTCTTCCTTCCATTTCCTCCACTGGAAAATGGGAACGATAATGTTTGCTGTCAATGTAGCGTGCAAATTAAGATGACATCATGTATGTAAAGTGCTCAGCATGGGGCCTGTTCCATAGTAAGGGCTACTTAACCGGCAGCAATTATGATTAGAAAGCTCACGGAACTTGGAAGGAGTTATCGTGGCCACCGTAAGGAAATTTTCCACCTTTCCACAAAGGCCTCCCCTGAAAAACACTCCACTGCTTTCCTTTGTAAATTGGCTCAGATTTGTTGTCCTGTTTTTCTTTTCTTCTTTTCTCTTTTTTTTTTTAATATTTATTTATTTATTTATGTATTTATTTATTTATTATTTATTTTGAGTACCGTAGACCCACTACATTACATTAGTTTCAGGTGTACAGCTTAGTGATTTGATGAGTCTATACATCATGCTGTGTTCATCATCTTTTGTTTTCTTCTTACTGTATCAGCCCAATTTCTTTGATGCTCTCATCCACAGCCCCAAGAAGGTAGCCATTTACGTTTCCAGAACCTTCTTTTATAGGCACATAGCTAGTTACCATGTGGTTCTTTAGACTGCACGATTTCATTTCATGCTTCTGATTGTTGTTGTGTTTTTTTTAGTGTTTATTTATTTTTGAAAGAGTGAGAGAGAACGTGAGTGGGGAAAGGGCAGAGAGAGAGAGAGAGAGGGAGACAGAAGATCTGACGCAGGCTCTGTACTGACAGCAAAGAGTCCAGTGTCAGACGCCCAACCGACTGAACCAGCCAGGCACTATTGCTTTTTTACTTATGCAGATTGTTGCCCCTCAAGTTGGTTTTGTTTTGTTTTGTTTTTGTTTTTGTTTTTGTTTTCACTACAGATTTCCTCTCCCACTGGACTTGAATCAAACGTAGGAGGTCTGGACCCCCAGACTCCCCCAATCTTTCCTATTGAGACGACAGTTTCCAGAGGGTCAGAATTATATTGTCCTCTTCAGCAGATGCCTTCCAGTTCTAATTTCTTGTTACCCTTCCTTTCTCTCCTTTTTCCCCTCCCTTCCTTCTCGTCTCCTCCTTTGTCCTTCCTCCGTGCCTGTTCCATGGCTTAAAGGGTCCCCAGTGTCTACCTAATGGAGATTCTTCTTCAAAGATCAAAAGCAAAAGCAAAAACCAGAACAAAACCAACTCCACTCCTGAAAAGAGCTCTTTCATATGTGAATTGGTTAGTAAGAGGCAGAGTGCTCTGAGAGCTTTTTTTATAATTATATTTTGAAGAAGTAATACATGCACACACTACAAAATTCAAACGTACAAAAGGATAGAGGATGAAAAGTAAGCCCTGCTCCCAACCTCCAGCCACAGAGTCTCTGTCCCTTGATGCAACTCTTATTACCAGCAATCAGATCTGTGTAGATATTCTCTTGCACACTCTGTTATGGTAGACGTACTCTGTTTGGTACTTAACAATATGCCTTAGAGATGATTCTGTATCCAAACATGTAGCGCTGCCCCTTTTCAAATGTGTTCGGTAGCCTCATTTAAGGCTGAAGATGATGTTCAGGCAACCCCAAGTATCAGACTCCATTAGGGAAATCAAATGTTTTCTCCCCTCCCTCCCTCCAAACACGCACAAACACACATAAACTCACATACGTGAAAATATCCACACCAACGCAAACGATATCATCACAAAGGATTTTCCTGGTTCTGGAAAAGAGATCTCGGCTAAGTTGACACACAGTTAAATTAGTAAAGCTTGTCCGTGTTCAACAACCCGAGATACCGCCTCTAGTAATTGGAAATGTTAATTAGCCGAAGTATCTGTTCTTATGAATCATCACATATTTCTTCTTTAATAGAAACAGTAGAGCCATTCATTAATCAATCCCAGCGGCCAGTGTTCCCTTTTGTCGACCAAACCTGAGACTGCGGAGAGAGGTTTAACATATACATCACATTTGAAAGCAATGCGACCGGAGCTGCTCTCCTTTTGTTGCATTTTCATTAACACTGATGATCTCGTCATTGTTTGATATAACATTCAGAAAAGCAGTCATTGCTCATGTCCTTTTACTGTGATATTTATCATGCAAAGCAGAATCCATCCTGCAAATAAAAGCTTAGGTGTAAGGTGGAGGAGGAGGGCGCGGGGGATGGGGTGGTGGTGGAAAGCCACTTTGGAAGAAAATAAGAAATCTGTTTTTCTGCTGCTGAGGAACAGAGTAGCCTCCTGGGGATTCGGACTGAGAAGTTCCTGCAAAGCCTCTAGGATGTCTGGCGCTGGAAACAACCTTGGGCCGGGGGCTCAGGAGGTTGGGGTTCCAGCCCCACTGTGTCCCCAGTGAGTGAACTCCTGCCAGACCGGTTCCCCTCTCCAGGGGCAGATGCTCTCAGGTGAAATAAAACCGATGAGGTGATCTTCAGATTCTCACCACAAAATGCAAGTTTGTGTTTCTCTACCTGACAATGGCCCTCTCTTCTTTGTCTCTTACAGTTGTTGGATTAAAGATGATTCTATCTTTTACACCTCAGTTGTGGCCTATTTTTGCCTCATATTTTTAATGAATCTCTCCATGTTCTGCACTGTTCTCGCTCAACTGAATTCCATGAACTCCCAAAGCCAGAGGACCCGGCGGAAGATAATCCTGCGTGACCTCAAAGGCACAACAAGCCTGACCTTCTTACTTGGCCTCACCTGGGGGTTTGCCTTCTTTGCCTGGGGACCCGTGAGGATCTTTTTCTTATATCTTTTTGCCATTTTCAACACATTGCAAGGTAACATCTGCTTCTTTGTACTTTCTCTGACTGGCCAGACCGCCACCAAAGCTTTGCTGCTTGGGAAAATAATCTCACCTTTTGGGGGTTGAAAGGGGGAAAAGAATTGACAGGCAGCCATTGGAAACATTAGCCATCGTGACTTCATTGAGTGAGCTCCCTCTTGGGGATATAAAGAAAAGCCCAGAGAGCTAATTCAACCCCAGCTAGTTGGTGATGTTTATATCAAACACCGACTGGTAATACTTTCTACAGTCTTCGTTGCATCAACACATTGTGCGTAAGTGTACAGACCCACACTTGCATCGACATTCTTTTTTCTTTTTTAATTTTTTTTAACGTTTATTTTTGAGACAGAGAGAGACAGAGCATGAATGGGGGAGGGTCAGAGAGAGGGAGACACAGAATCCAAAACAGGCTCCAGGCTCCGAGCTGTCAGCACAGGGCCCGACGCGGGGCTCGAACTCACGGACCGCGAGATGGTGACCTGAGCCGAAGTCGGCCGCTCAACCGACTGAGCCACCCAGGTGCCCCCGCATTGACATTCTTGAGTGCGCGATCCAGTTGAATACACCAATTACTGGACAGTAGAAATATTAAACTTCTGACCCCCTAAGCTCTGGCTACATCAGAGATCCTAATCTTGTGGGAGGGAGCCAGGCTAGGAAAGTGGACAGTCACGAAGGAATGCAGGTGAGGTGCAAACAGCAGTGGGCCAAGGTGAGAGGTCAAGGTTCTGGTATTGCTGCACATTGACCTTGAAAAAGTCACCACGGCTGGTTGAATTAGATGATCCTAAGCTAGTGTTTCCATAGCTCTTTAATTTCACTCCGATTTTCTGGTGAATGGAGCAAATGGTAATGAAGTGATTAAATGGGAGGCCACACCAGGGATCTGGTTAACATACCCCTGAGTAACTGTCGATGTTCATTTTAACCTGACCTGGCCTATTAAAAATCTTGGGGGCAAGAGGCACGCAGAGTGGTTTCCTGGGACTCTCAAAACTTTGCTCTGTGTTCTTATTCTCAAGTTTGGCCCAGTTCATTTGAGCTACTGGGGCAGCTGTGAGTGAACTTGGGCAGCGTGTTGAGTTAGGGTCTCGCCTACTGCTCCTATTTATCTGTTTAATAAGCCCTTTTACTGAACTCCAGTCCGTGGGTGGTCCATAGGATCCTCCAGCAAGAGAAGAGTTCTGTGGCCAAAGAAGTTTGGGAAGTGCAGAAAACTATATTCTCCCATTCTTAAAATGGAACAAGTTTTTACCTTTATCAAGGTAAAAACTTCTGAGAAATTCTGCTGGGGGGGGGGAAACTTTAAAATTTATTTTAACCTAGCATTTAAATAACTTCGGAACACTTTGTCGTCTGATTCTTAACCCCTGAGGAATCTTCGGAAATATGAATTGGTACGTAGTGGCTCTATGCCAGGCATTTGCAAGGTGCTTCAGGGAGACGGGGGAGCAATCTAGAATAAGGCACAATTTTTGCTCTCACATCTTACAATTCAAGAAACCATCTCATTTTAGAGCAATGAAGTGTATCAGCTGAGACTTTCCGTCCCACCAGAATCTTCCAAGCACGTTCTGATCGAGACGTAAGAAGACACAAAATGCCTCGGTGTAGAATGTGTACAGAAGTGGGTTAGGAACCAGATGCCGGGGTGGATTTCTCCCTCGGCAATAACCCCACCCACTAGTTCTGAGGAGAGACACACACTCACCGTTTGGAAAGAGGGGTTAACGGGGAAGCTGAGAAAAGAATGAGAAAGCAAAGTGGTTTAGAGCTTAGAAAGGAAGGAGGGGTGTTTTCAAACCAGCAAGTGTTCCATTCCTGCGGTGGAAAGAGAAAGTAGTATCTAAGCAGGAAGTCTCCATGGCTTAGAAGCAGAATCCAACTGGGGATCTCCTGAGGAATAAATCCAAAGTCCCACAGATCCAGCGTCAACAGAGTCAAGCTGTCTCTGTCTGTCAGATACGCTTCATGTCAATCAAGCACCAAGTGTCTCCAGTTCCTAGTCCTGCCTCACAAGATAGAATGTGCCATCTTGCAGAGGAGGGGGTCGCAGAGCCCTGAGTTTCAAATTCAAGTTGCACACACACACACACGCACGCACACGCACGCACACGCACACACACACACACACACACACACACACACACACCCGGAACAAGAATGCAGTGAAACAAGTGAACAAATTAGCCATTTTACAAGACAGATGGCAAGTTTGCAATTCTGGCTGAAGGGGGTTGCCCTGTGGTCCGGCGTGAAAAAATTATGCGCCTGATGAGCCATTTCTGAAGGAGGGATGCACAAATAAAACTGCAGGTGACAAAAACCTGACATCTTCCCTCATGCCTGTGTTCTAGTGAGTAAGCAGATCAATCTGTTATTGGAAAGAAAAGGGAAGGCTGTCAGGCAGAGAGGGAGAGCTGGCAGGCAGCTCATTGGAATTCACATGATAACCTTTAAGTCTGAGAACAAACTAAACGCCACGCAGGAAATCAGAACGGTAATAGGTGCTTCCTGTCACTGTTGCCCCTCGTTTGTGCTGGAGCTGGAGGAGTTTTACCTGCTCCGAGACCGGGCTTTGCTCTCACCAGCTTGCTGCAGCGCCTTCCAGGTGGTTGCTGCTCAGAAAGGGTGAACGCTGCTCGATTCGTCACCACCGTTGTTTGGTTACATGGAGATAAAGCCCTCAGGGGAGTTGGTGAGACATGTCTTTCCGTTTAGCCTCCAGATTGCTGCCTCCCACCTGGACTCAGAGAGTCTCAGGGCTGGGGCTGGGGACCCGAGATCTTCCCCATCCAACTTCCCTTTGAGTGACAGGAAGCCACGTGCCTCCCCCTGAAACTTTCCAGGGACCGAGAGCTCACCGTTCCATAAAGCAGAGCCTTCAACTCTTCTCTTTTTTTTAATTGAAATATACTTGACATTTAAAGCTGTGTAAATGTGAGGCGTGCAACCTGTTGACTTGATACACTGATATATTGTAATATGATTACCACTGAAGCTTCTGATCGGCTCCACATCTCACCCGGTCGCCCTTTCTTGAGGGTGGTATCCATAGGGCCGTGGTTAAGACCTTGGGCTCTGCAGCCAGACTGCCTGTATTTGGTCTAGACACGGCCACCTTCATATTAGCCCTGTGACTGGGTCAAATGTACTAGACTTCTTGGACTGTGGGGTCTCTCATCTGTAAAAACAAGACGAATAGCATAATGGCTATGATTACGCTACTTAGTAAAGATTAGCTGGGATGTGCTACTGCGTGGTTGTTCCGTGGCTCCCTCCCACTGCTCCCAGTTCTGACCTGGCCACCACACAGAACACGCCTAATTTGTTCTTTTCGTGATAGCCCCTTCAGATCTGTAGCTATAGCTACCATCTCTCCCTGCCCTGTGTTCCCACTCCAAGACTTCTCTATTCTTGAGTACTTCGATTTGTTGTCATCGTCTCAAAACAAAGCTGCCCAAACTGAATACGGTGCTGGTGGGAGAAAGGTCGAAATGAGGGCAAGATGGCAGGAGACTCTCACCCACCTCAGCCAAGATTCTTTTTTTTTTTTTTTCAATATATGAAATTTATCGTCAAATTGGTTTCCATACAACACCCAGTGCTCATCCCAAAAGGTGCCCTCCTCGATGCCCATCACTCACCCTCCCCTCCCTCCCACCCCCCATCAACCCTCAGTTTGTTCTCAGTTCTCAACAGTCTCTTATGCTTTGGCTCTCTCCCACTCTAACCTCTTTTTTTTTCCTTCCCCTCCCCCATGGAGATCCTCCTCCATGTGGATCTGTTAAGTTTCTCAGATCCACATAAGAGTGAAAACATATGGTATCTGTCTTTCTCTGTATGGCTTATTTCACTTAGCATCACACTCTCCGGTTCCATCCACGTTGCTACAAAGGGCCATATTTCATTCTTTCTCATTGCCACTCTGGAAAACAGTGTGGAGGTTCCTCAAAAAATTAAAAATAGATCTACCCTATGACCCAGCAATAGCACTGCTAGGAATTTACCCAAGGGATACAGGAGTACTGATGCATAGGGGCACTTGTGCCCAATGTTTATAGAAGCACTCTCAACAATAGCCAAATTATGGAAAGAGCCTAAATGTCCATCAACTGATGAATGGATAAAGAAATTGTGGTTTATATACACAATGGAGTACTACGTGGCAATGAGAAAGATTCTTGACTTCCACCAAATGCTATAGCTGAAGCGAGCTTTGGGGGCATTTACCATTGGCTCATGCTCAACTTGCAACGAGTCGAGACAGATTCAATCCGTCACTGATCATTTACTTCAGCACAACTGGCCAGCGAGGGGGCAAGTCAAACCTTGTGTAGCGAACAAAGGGTGGCAACCTGCACTTGGGACAAAAGAAAGATTCTGAGGCCCAGGAAGATATTACGAAGGTTGCAGAAAACTGTGAGAGTTTGCGTATCGAGTGCCCTGGAGGCCAAGTCAACAAACGTCTATCTGCTGGGCTGCCGCACATAGTACTGGAGGCAAAGGGAGATGTGATATGAAGATGACAAGACTTTACAGCTGGGTGGAGAGATGGACAATCCATGGGGAAAGTGGCCACATGTAGCAAACTGTGTAAGAAACAGAGTGTTATGGGAGCTCAGAAATGAAAAGCATGAGTTCCAGTTTGAGGCAGTTGGAAAGGCTTGGTGGATAAAAAGACACTTAGCCTGGGCCACAAATAAACATCAGGCTGACGATGGGAGTTATTTCTGCCAATTCCGCCTCCAAACTTCAGGAAATCCAATTGGCCCTCCAGAGCATTTGCCATCAGGATAATCTCAAGTCCTACTTTTCTCTCCCAAGGAGGTATTTTATTTTATTTTTTTTAACGTTTATTTTTGAGACAGAGAGAGACAGAGCATGAACGGGGGAGGGTCAGAGAGAGAGGGAGACACAGAATCTGAAACAGGCTCCAGGCTCTGAGCAGTCAGCACAGAGCCCGACGCGGGGCTCGAACTCACGGACCACGAGATCTTGACCTGAGCCGAAGTCGGATGCTTAACCGACTGAGCCACCCAGGCGCCCCACAAGGAGGTATTTTAGAGGATGGGGGTGAGAAATTGCCAACACTGCTGGTGATACCATCAGCTTCTCTCTGTCTATCCCACTTTCAGGGCAAAGTCAGGGTTGGCAGTGAAAAATGACAGCATCCAAATGTATGGTTTCCACGTGGTGTAATTGTGCCAAAGAGCATGTGTATTAGTTATTTATTGCTGTGTAACAAAGTGCTCCCAAATTTTAGCAGCCTAAAACAACAGCGCTTATTATCTTACCCAGTTTCTGTGTATCAGGGATTCAGGAGCTGCTTAGCTGGGTGCTTCTGGCTCAGGGACTCATGAAGTTGCAATCAAGCTGTCAGTCAAGGCTGTAGTAACGTGGAGACTTGACTGGCTCTGGAGAATCCACTTCCAGGAAGCCTCACTCACATGGCTGTGGACTGGAAGCCTCCATTCCTCACTATGTGGGCCTCTCCACAGGACCGCAGGGTGTCCTTAAGATATAACACTGGGATTCCTTTGGAGGGAGTAATCAGAGATCGAAAGAAGCCACAATGTATTTTATAACCTATTCTTGGAAGTGACATGCCATCACTTCTGCCATATCCTATTGATACAGTGTGGGAAGAGACTACAAAAGGATACAAATGCCAGCACGTAGGGATCATTGAGAGCCATCTTGGAGGGTGGCTACCATTGCAGAGCTGAGGTCTCAAGCTCTAGGATAGACAGCAGCCCAAGACGAAAACTGTGGTTGATATGAAGTCTTGATAGAGGCCTTCTTACCATCACTGCCTTTGAAAGGGAAGCTCGAAATATGAGCTCGGAAAGCCAGAATGGCCCTGGGGTTCCTCAGGAGGAATATCTATGGTGACAAGAGTAGACCTGGGTCTGGGTGTTGGTGACAGCTAGTGAAAGAAACTGAAGAAGACTGGCCTTCTTCTTTTGATGTAGGATTCCTCATTTTCGTGTTTTACTGCATGATGAAGGAGAGCGTGCGGGAGCAGTGGCAGACACATCTCTGTTGTGGGTGGTTACGACTGGATAACTCTTCTGGTAAGATGCCCGTTTGGGTAAGGTTTTGAATTTTATAGGTTTTATATAACTGATCCGATGAACTTGTCACCTGACTTGGGTTTATAGAGTATCAGCATCAAAATGGCGGCTATTCCCACGTCATGAAAATGATTTGTACTTTCGTGCCGAGATGAATGAAGTCGAGCGAAGAATGCGACTTGGACCATATTTTAACATAGTGAACCTTGTCTTTTGGCCCAGATTCCTTGGATTGCTTGTCCTTGCTGTCACCTCAATCTCAATTCAATTAAAAGAATGTTGATTGAGTGCCCTACTGTGTTCCAGGCCCCGGATCACAGGGGCTCTCTGGCCCATAGCCAACAGTGGGTTGAGTGGATGTGGGAAGCAAGGAGTGATAGTGGAGGCAGGAGGAGCCAGGCTGGGTGGAGCGATGGCCCATCCTGTACAGCGTGACATGTGGTGGACCCTGATGTTGCCTCGGAGAATATCTCCAGTCCAGGACAACTGATTTTCTATGTATCAAAAGGCCCTTCCATCCGATTCAGACAGCTTCTCTCAGTCTCAGTGCAAAGCCCAGTGTGTTTCTTTTAGGGAAGGAAAGTGCTTGGACTCAAAGGTTCTGTAAGTAGCAGCGCAGAGGTCGGTCTCCCTCTTTGTTTTTTTAATTTTTATTTATTTTTAATTTTTTTTAACGTTTATTTATTTTTGAGACAGAGAGAGACAGAGCATGAATGGGGGAGGGTCAGAGAGAGAGGGAGACACAGAATCGGAAACAGGCTCCAGGCTCTGAGCATTCAGCACAGAACCCGACGCAGGGCTCAAACTCACGGACCGCGAGATCATGACCTGAGCTGAAGTCAGACGCTTAACCGACTGAGCCACCCAGGCACCCGTAGGTGTCCCTCTTTGTACTGGGCATGTCGGTAACCCGCTGGTCCCTGTACCGGGCTCTAGGGAAAGCAGGCATCCTTGGTAAGTGAATGGGCCTGCCTGTACCACACATTACAGTATAAACTTACTTCTCACAACTTCATAGAAAAGCTGACTCCTTGAGGTGCCTAGAACAGACACTCTGTGCATTGAACTTTACGTTTTTAAGAGGATTATTGAGGTACAATTTACACACCATACAATTCACCCATGTTAAGTGTAGAATTTGGTGAGTTTTATGTTTTTAACTTTTCTGGTTTCATTTCAGATGGGGACAGCAGGTGTGGACTAAATGTTAGGCACAAACAAGAGAGACTGAAGAAAACCTTCCAGCACAAAGTATTGACACCATCCTTCAAGTCAACTGCGACTAGTTCTACTTTCAAATCTTTAGGCTCCGCACAGTGCATTCCTTCAGAAATAAGCTTCCCAAATGGTGAGAGAAAAAGGCATGTTGTCTACACTTACATTCCAGAAATATTGAATTAGTGACCACATACATGGTCTTGGGAAACACTTCTTCCTTAAAACTAAAGGCACGCGTGCATGTATATACCTGGGCTTATTCCTGGCTGAGAAAGTGTGTATAGAAGCACCTAGCGAGGGATGCCTGGGTGGCTCAGTTGGTTGAGCGTCCGACTCTTGAATTCAGCCCAGGTTATGATCCCAGGGTCATGGGATTGAACCCTGCATAGGGCTCCACACCGAACGTGGAGCCTGCTCGAGATTCTCTTTCTCACTCTCTCTCTCTACTCCTCCCCCTTTGCTCATGCTCTCTCTTTCTCTCAGATAAAAAATAAATAAAAAAGGAAGCACTTAGTGAACTTAGTATGTGCAAATCTGCTGGGTTATTAGACTAAGGCGGGAGGGAAGAGACGGAAGGGGTCAAAACAGATTCATGTGTAATTCAAAACAATTGTCAGAATAGCCCAAAATGGAAAGAGCCCAAATGGCCATCAACTGGTGAATAAAGAAGACGTGGTATGTATGTATGTATATACACACACACACACACACACACACACACACACACAACGGAATATTACTTGGTGATCAAAAAGAATGAAATCTTGCCATTGGCAACAATGTGGATAGTACTGGAAGGTATATAATGTGAAGTGAAATAAGAGAAAGACAAATACACGATTTCACTCATATGTGGAATTTAAGAAACAAAACAGATGAACACAAGGGAAGGGAAGCAAAAATAAGATAAAACCAGAGAGGGAGGCAAACCATAAAAGACTTAAATACAGAGAACAAACTGAGGGTTGCTGGAGGGGTGTTGGGTGAGAGGATGGGCTAAATGGGTGAGGGGCGGTAAGGAGGGCACTTGCTGGAATGAGCACGGGGTGTTATAAGTCAGTGCTGAACCACTAAATCTATTCCTAACATCATTATTACACCATATGTTAACTAACTTGGATTAAAAATAATAATTGTCAGAGACTATTAAAGCCAGAAGGAACCTTTGACATTGTCTAGTGTGATCCCCTCGTTTTCCAGATGAGGAACTTTAAGCAGGGAAAGAAAAATGCCTTATAGACACTCACTCACCATCAGCAGCAGAACAGGGGCCAGAACTCAGGTCGCCTGGCTCTCAGACTAGTGCACATCGCACACCACCAAGAATGCCCACTGAGCGGCGCTACACTCTTAGATGCTCAGCTTCTTCCCCAGGAAGCCAAATTTCTAGGTCCAGAGAGAGTTTTTGAGGTGGAGACGGGTATTGGGAGGGAAACTGTAGGGAAAGGATCGATCCAGAGGCCCAAAGCGAGGAGAAAGACCAAGGGAGCAAGGACTTAGGTACTCGGGCTGCTGCCGTGACCACTCTGTGCTTCTAGTTGGACAATGGTGCAATGGCGTTTGCTTGCCCTCCTTGAGGACCGAAGGAGATGCCAGTTCACATACCCAGAACACCTTTGGAGGCCTGGCCGTAGCCCTCCTCCCACCTTCTCGGTGCTGGTTACAGACCCACCTGGTCCACTTGCATTTTTCATCGTGTTGGCTCCACACAGCAGATTTGTTCCCAGAGGCTAAAGTGAATCTGGAGTCAGTATGGTGGGTAAAAAAAATAAATAAATGAAGGCACCAAGGGGTGCCCGGCTGGCTCAGTTGGAAGAACGTGTGAATCTTGATCTCGGGATGGTGAGTTTGAGCCCTGCGTTGGGTATAGAAATCACTTAAACATACATACATACATACATAAATAAATTTGAAAAAGTAAAATAAAAACACCAAACTTGGAGTCAAAAGGCTTTCGTTCAAGGCCCAGCTCGGTCACTAACCCTGTGACCTCAGGCACATCCCTCCTCTACTCAGAGCTATATTCTCTCTACCTTAAACACGAGGAGGCTTGGAGAGAGAATCTCGAAAGCGCCTACCAGCTTCAGGACTGTATGGGGCAGCTTTGTTTTCCAGTTTAGGCCGGTTGACTAGCTAGTGTACAATCTCAGTCTCCATCTCTGTACGAGAAAGTTGGTCATAGGAAACAACTCTTTCCGTGCTCACAAGGGTCCATCACTCTGGTGAGCGAATGTGCAAATACGTCCCGGGGCTCATATGGAGGCACTGGGGAGCCATAGCATATAGAGGGCAGGAGCGGTGGAAGCTGCTTAGTAGCTAATAGTTGAGGCTGACAGGGAAACACCATTTTTGCAAAAGAGTTAATTAGTATTGGCTCTCCTGCTGTCCCTGGGGGATATTGTTTCATTAGCAAATATATGGCTCAAATGTACATGTCTCTACTATCCTGCCACGTCCAGGATTTGGGGGTTGTCTTTAATACCATGTCCAGCATCTTAATGTTGTACCAAGCAATAGATCCAGGGGGCCAAGGGGCCTGGAGTTGCCATAGTAACTCATCAGGTGGGGCAGATAGTGTACCTCTTGGGCCACATGTTGCAAATCTGCGGAATGGATGTCGCCATCAGTCAGAGCCAGCAGCTTAATTTCCATTAGCACAGAGGGAAATTATGCCTCGGGCTTGAGAAACCGCTAAACCTTCCGGGTAAGAATTTCAGGGGACGTAGGTCTGTGTGTGTTACCATTTTATGTTGTCTCTTCCTGAAGACCTTCAAGGTTTGTGCATGAATTTCCTCCCCCCAGGTTAAGGTTACCATGAAGAACACAGCCTGTTCTTCTCAATGCACGACGAACACATGCATTTGTAATTGCCTCAACAGTACTGGCAGGATGAATTATTTTGCCCTGGATCTGTATGAACTATCCAAGGGAAGCACCATTACCTTGACTTCCTTTCTAATTCCTCTATATGCTCCTTTGTTCGGTAAAAAACGTCTTACGCTTCTACTATGTGCAAAGTCTCCAATGCCATGGCTGAAAATGTTCTTTGTTTCTTTAATGCAGGTGACTTTGATGAAGATCCCTAGCGTTTCTCTCCCTGGGGTTGTGAAGTTGTGTCTAATTATGTGAAAAGAATATTACCTGTGGACGTCCAAATGAATTCCACTCACAAGGATTTCTTCAATAATTCCCAGCAGAGATACCCGCCTCCCCCTACCCCCAGATTAGGGAAAAATGTTGGGTTTGTGAAGCCATCTGCCCCAACTTTGTACTCTAAATATTATTTTGGAAGGAACAGAATCAAATAGCATTTAGTGGATATTAAAGTCAGCATAATTCTCCTATTCATTGTTGTAGCTGTTTCTTTTTCTAGATAAGATTTGAGCCTATATTTATGACATATTAGGGGAGAAATGTCTACAGCACTGGAGATTTGGTTTCAAAAACTCCAAGTGTCCCATCGTGCAAGAAAAAAAAAAATCGAGATCAGGGTCCTTACTGCACTGGGAGTGGAACGGTTTCGGGTGGCCAAAGTTCTCTGACACCCAGTTGGCTTGACACCCACAGGGGAAGTAGGAAGAGTCAGACTGGAAAAAATAATATCCTGTTGGCCTGTCATGACAAAGTATCTGAAGTCCCCATTATTCAAGTCACTCTTTGATTGAATCCTCTTGTTGAAGTGGAAACATGTTTTGTGAAAAGGGTGCCTCATCAATCCACAGACACCCAAGAACTCCTTAGTGGGGATGAATTTCTCAGCCAAGACAGCCCCTGGGGTGGGGGGTGCGTAGCGAGTAGGGTTCTGAGGAATGTAACAGAGCAGGAGCTGTTTGAAGCGGGTGGTTCTCTCTAGTGAGGAGAGGACAAGTTAGGGTGAGTAAGAAAGTACAGGGATGGAGGTGGAGAGAGTCACCCAAAGGCAGCAGAGTGAGTACCGAGGATGAATTCTGCCTGCTTTTTGCTCTGCAGCTAAGCACGATGTGTGGCCTTTTTAATCCTGTTCCAAATATTGCCACTGGGGCTTCTGAGCCAAGCAGCCTGCTCACATTTGACCTTGGGTTAGGAAGGAGTGAGGAGGTGAACATTTTGGAGCGATGCACAGCAGCTGCCATCAGTGGTTGCCTTTAGGAAGGGGAGCCGGGTATTTGGGAAGAAGGAAGACATACTTTTCACCCTATCCCTCTTTTGAATGTTGTGCTGAGAGACTGTATTACTCTTTAGGCAATAAATGAATGAATACATAAATAAGGACGACTGGACCTTTCCAATGAGGAAGAAAGATAGACTCCTGGGTTTCAATAGTATAAATCAAGTCCCCCATCATCCTTGGGAATATGTATGGTGTCGCGGGCTGTGGAGACAGCAGAGCTGGGTTCAAATCGCAGCTCTGTTGCTTCCCAGAGTTGAGACCCAGGGAAATAACAGCAATAGTACATTCATCATAGAGTTCAAGTGAGACTTAAACGAGATGACGTCTACAAATTTTCTAGCACCCGTATGCCTCTCAGCCCCTCATGGCCCACCCGCCATATCGGCCCCATTAAAGGCACTACATCGGATCCCGTAAGCAAGAGTTAATGCTGACTGCTACGTAGACTGGAACACTGGTGCCAGTCACCGGTATAAAGCTCCTAGATTCCCCTTTGCCCCCTTTGCCGTCTGAAGTAACGTAAAGATGTAGGTAGGCCCTTAGGCCCTGCGTACCTGCCTCAGAGTCAGCCCCCTTGCCTATGGACTTTTGCTCTTGAGGCAATCCCACACCATTTTTCTCTATAGGTCTTTATGTGTACTTTTTGTAGGGGAAGGCGAGTGTGGGTGTGCGTGCACGTGTGCACGTGCGTGCAAAAGGACTAATATAAACAATGAACGAAATGTCTTGAATGTTGGAAAATATCTTTGAACTGACAATATTGTCAGCTTCATTCAAAAACAAATTTAGGGACAGGACTTGGGTATAATTAGCAAATCTACGAAAATATGCATTCTGCAAATGCTTTGACTTGGGGGATCATTTTGGCTGTGAAAATGCCCATGATTGTTCTGCTGCGGCTGGAGTGATGAATGTACAGGCCATCTCTAATGACCTGATATGCTGTCAAGCAAAAGAAACATTATTTTATAGAAAAGTTCATGATTCCTGGGGCGCCTGGGTGGCTCAGTCGGTTAAGCGCCGGACTTCACCTCAGGTCATGATCTTGCGGCCCGTGAGTTCAAGCCCCGCGTCGGGCTCTGTGCTGCCAGCTCAGAGCCCGGAGCCTGCTTCGGATTCTGTGTCTCCCTCTCTCTCTGACCCTCCCCCATTCATGCTCTGTCTCTCTCTGTCTCAAAAATAAATAAACGTTAAAAAAAAAAAAAAAGAATTAAAAAAAAAAGAAAAGTTCATGATTCCTGTCATGGCTCCTCCTACTAATTAGTGAAAATATGGGTTTTCTGCAAATTAGATGACAGCTGGAAATTATGGGGAAAACACCGATTAAACATCTTTCAGGCATCCTTTGGTTTGCTCTTTCTGGGCCCACAAAATGGCTGACCCTCGTGTGAAGGCAGGCCCATGTGACTATGGAAAAGAGGCCCTAGAACCTTTGTGTTGCTTTCAGTCAACAATCTACCCCATTGAGCCCTGACATGAAGAGAGAGATTCAGATGTGTCATCTATAGGTCACTACCTCCAACAGCTTAATGTCCACCTGGGGAGACCAGATACACATACTGGAATAGTCAATGGTTTAAAGCAGCAAGGGTATGACGGGAAGAGTCGTGCTTCACAGACAGGAAATTGCACAGTCTTTGGGCAAGCTGAAGGTGGAATGTTCTAGGTTTGGAGTGGGGCAGCTTGGGTAAGGCAGGATTTCATTTCTCAATACCACAGGCAAATGTTCTTTATGAAGTCCTAAAGGTGACGGTGACCGTCTGTGATGGTCCACCTCCCCTGAACCTAGAAATACGGGAAGGTGGGCTGTTGAAAGGGTAAGAGGAGTTAAGCCTTGTGTCTTCCAAAAGTTCAGACCTAAGGTTAATTGATGGTCTTTCTGGTCTTGAATCTCAAGCCTTTAGGGGACATGATGAGTTTGGTGCAATGGAGGAAAGACCTAGTCACATACTTCTGTTGATCAGACAAAACAAATGAAATGGATTAAATTCATTCTTATGATGTCTGGCACCTCATAGGCCCTCCATAAATATTCAACACGTGCATGAATGAATGAATAATCTAAAATACAGAGTCTATGAAAGCAATGGCTGACTTCCTTATCTCAGGTTTCTTAGTGCTGAGTAAACCTATGTTACCCACTAATATGTAAGCTTCATGAGGGCAGAATCGACATCTGTCTTGTTGATTGTTGTACAATCAGTGCCTGGCACAATGTTTCAGTCAAGGTTCTTCGGTTGCCAGCAACAGAAACAAAATGCCTTTAAATTGACAATATTGTCAGTTCTGGTCACCCAAGGAAAAGGGAGTTGGTTAAAAGGGTTTGGGGAACTCAAATAATTAATGGGAAGGTTAAAGAATAGGGCTAAAAAAAAAAAAAGAGACCTACAAATCAGGAACCATAGGGGTAACTTTCTAGCCAGGAAAAGTCTTGAAATGACATCAATCCTGGGAAAAGTAAAGAGCAATTTCTTCTATCCTCATGTTATTAGCTTACGATTCAGAGTCTCATGAGACTGCTTCTGATCAGCCAAGCTTAAATTCTGTGCTGTACTAAGCAGTTAGATAAGGGATGTGGCAGAAGAAACCTTCAGGGAGCCTTTTGGTTTTGCTAATGGTAGCACAGGAGCTTGGATTTACCATCCTGCCGGGGAAACCCACACCAGGAAAGAAGTCATTCTGCAAAAAGAAATGAGACCACTGTTAAGAATGGACAAGTAGGAGGCACCTGGGTGGTTCAGTCAGTTAAGTGTCTGACTCTCGATTTCAGCTCAGGTTGTGATCTCACGCTTTGCGAGATCAAGCCCCACGTCGGGCTCTGCACTGACAGTATGGAGCCTGCTTGAGATTCTCTCTCTCCCTCTCTCTCTGACCCTCCCACACTCGTGCGCGCGCTCTCTCTCTCTCTCTCTCTCAAAATAAATAAATAAATAAACATTGAAAAAAAAAAAAAAAAGAATGGACAGATAGGCGAGGGGAAAGTCCCACATTTGCCCACGACACACGACGTAGGACTGAATGTATTTTGGTTGAATGAATGGCTAGTTCAGTGACATACTTCTTCAATGAGGGTGCGACGATGCTTGGGAGAGGAGGTTCCTCCCATGCCTTATTCACATATTCACTTGTTTTTTAAAGGCTAGGGTATATCAGGACGTGTTGAGACAGCTGAAGAGTTCCAAATAAGCATCCCCGAATGATGGAGAAGAGTGCTGTTATCAGTGATGATTTTGAGATCTTGGGTACACAGGTTGACCTTACTCCAAGGAAAATCAATATATGAAAATGAGCTTAATTGTCTGTGGCGTTCCCACATCTGCCCTGAAGACTTCACAACTGATTACAGTCTTTTGTGAAGCTGTTTCACCACACGTCTTTCTAAAAGTTCCCCCAGGGGCGCCTGGGTGGCTCAGTCTGTTGAGTGCCTGGCTTTCGATTTCAGCTCAGGTCATGATGTCATGAACGTGACACTGAGCCCCTCGTCGGATGTCTGGGGCTTGAACATGTGGCTCCAACTCATGAACCATGAGATCACGACCTGAGCCGGAGTTGGACACTCAACTGACTGAGCCACCCACGCTCCCCTGAAAATATATTTTCACCCCAACTTCATAAAAAGTGAGATTCAGGGGCGCCTGGGTGGCGCAGTCGGTTGAGCGTCCGACTTCAGCCAGGTCACGATCTCGCGGTCCGTGAGTTTGAGCCCCGCGTCGGGCTCTGGGCTGATGGCTCGGAGCCTGGAGCCCGTTTCCGATGCTGTGTCTCCCTCTCTCTCTGCCCCTCCCCCGTTCATGCTCTGTCTCTCTCTGTCCCAAAAATAAATAAACGTTGAAAAAAAAATTAAAAAAAAAAAAGTGAGATTCATAAAAATGGGGGAGGCATATGGCATTCAGGGCCCTGCATTGGAGGACTCTGGTGTGATTATAAAAAAAAAAA